CAATAAAATATATTAAAAAAAAAAGAAACCGAGAGAATCCAAATAAAATCAGAAACAAAAGTGGAGAAATAACCACTGACACCACAGAAATATAAAAGATTGTAAGAAAATACTATGAACAACCATATGCCAACAAGCTGGACAATGGATGAAATGGACAAATTCCTAGAAAAATAGTTTCCCAAAACTGAATCAGGAGAAATCAGAAAACCTGAATAGGCCAGTAACAACTTATGAAATAGAAGCAGTAATCAAAAAACTCCCACCAAACAAAAGTCCAGGTCCGGAAGGCTTCCCAGGGGAGTTTTACTAAACATTAAAAAAAGAACTAACACCTATACTCAATTATTTCAAAAAATCCAAGGAAGGAACACTTTCAAACTTTTTATGAGGCCAGCATTATCCTAATTCCAAAACCAGATAAAGACATTACAAAGAGAATTACAGGCCAGGATCCCTGATGGACATAGGTGCTAAAATCCTCAACAAAATATTAGCAAATCACAGCCAACAATATATTAAAAAGATCATACACCATGACCAAATGGGATTTATTCCAGCAATATGAGGCTGTTACAATATTCACAAATCAATAAATGTTATACATCATATAAATTGAAAGACAACAATCACATGATTGTATCAATAGACTCAGAAAAAGCATTCGACAAAATCTAACACCCATATTTTGATAAAAACTCCCAGAAAAATTGGAATAGACGGAGCATATCTCAACATGATAAAGGCCATATATGACAAACCTACAGCCAGCATCATACTCAGTGGGCTCCATTCCCAGTGTAGGTTGTGCAGAGGCAGCAGGTCAGTGATTCTCTCTCTCTCCTTCTCCCTTCCTCTCTGAAATCAAAATTATATGCTAAAAATTGAAAAGAAAAATATTGTGGAACCTAATCAATAACATCAACTGATAAGCATAGATCCAGAGACATGGATGCATGCAGCAGACTGACTCAAGGATGGGGGTAAAAAGGGGAGTGGGTGGGAAGAGATTAACCAAAGAAATTAAAAGCATACTAGCGGCCCAGTCCACAAAAATTTGTGCACTCGGGGGGTGGGGGTGGGGGCCCTCAGCCCGGCCTGTGCCCGCTTGCAGTCTAGGACCCCTCGGGGAATGACCACCTGCTGGCTTAGGCCCACTCCCCAGGGGATTGGGCCTAAATTGGCAGTCAGACATCCCTCTGGCAGCCTGGGAGCC